GAAGGGACACCACAGACACTGACAGGGCCTTCAACTTTCCACTCTTACCTTTAATTCTCTTTTAAAATTTTACTAATTTTATTTATTTGAAAAAGAGAGATCTTCCCTCTGCTGGTTCACTCCTCAAATGCCTGTGATGACCAGGGCTGTGCCAAACCAAAGTTAGAATTCAAGAACTCGGCCGGCGCCGCGGCTCACTAGGCTAATCCTCCGCCTTGCGGCGCAGGCACACCAGGTACTAGTCCCGGTCGGGGCGCCGGATTCTGTCCCGGTTGCCCCTCTTCCAGGCCAGCTCTCTGCTGTGGCCAGGGAGTGCAGTGGAGGATGGCCCAAGTGCTTGGGCCCTGCACCCCATGGGAGACCAGGAGAAGCACTTGGCTCCTGTCTTCGGATCTGCACAGTGTACCGGCCGCGACAGCCATTGGAGGGTGAACCAACGGCAAAAGGAAGACCTTTCTCTCTGTCTCTCTCTCTCTCACTGTCTACTCTGCCTGTCAAAATAAAATAAAAAAATAAATAAATAAATAAAAGGAATTCAAGAACTCAATCCAGGTCTCCCACACAATGGTGCAAGGTCTTACGCCTCAGAGCCGTTTCAGCTCCTTGCCTGCAAGCAGATCCGGTTCCTGAGAGACTCCCTAGGACTCCCTATCCCTGCATTCCTACTCAGTCAGCTCAGTCCCTTGTCCTGCGTCCTTCCCCACCCCACCCTCTGCGTCTTAACTGGGTCCCTGAGAGAGGAAGTTTGAGAAGCCCTGGAAAACCTGCAAACCAGATCAGCTCTGCCCACCGCCCTCCTGTCTGGACCCTTAGCTTGCCGGAGGGCTGGGCTCTGTGCCACATGCTCCTTCTGTCTGCTAGCTGCCTGTTAGCCACCGCTGAGAACCTATTCCCTTGAATAAATTCATTTTGGCTGTGAGTTCATATCCAGTCTCCTCTCTTTTCTGCCCCTCTCTTCTTACACTGCCTGGGTGGCAGGATCCTAGCACTGGAACCATCATCTGCTGGCTCCCAGGGTGTGCATTAGCAGGAAGCTGGAATGGAGGGCTTGAGTTTGGGTCTCAGATACAGAACAGAGACATCTCGAGTGGTGGCTTAACCACCGTGCCAAACACCCACCTCCCTCTCTTTTCGCAATAGCTTTTAATGGACAGCAGTTCTTACAAATGCACTTGAATTTATCAACCTCATCTTTATGAACTCTGTCTCTTTCTTGGACCTTGATTTTGCCTGTCTTTTAGGTGTTGTTTTTCAGCTAGATCTTCATCTGTCACCTCTATTATTTAATTTAATTTTGTTTTTTGGACGTGTTTGAGAGTCAGAAAGAGAAAGAAGGGAGGAGGGAGAGGAGAGTGAGAGCGAGCAGACAGGAGCACTCCAGCCCCTGGTTCACTCCCCTGATGTCCAGGAGCTGGGAACTCAGCCAGAATCCTCCACTGCCTCCCAGGGTGCACATTAGCAGGCCGCTAGGATCAGGAGCAGAAGCTGGACTCAGATCTAGGCACTGAGAAGGGACACAGGCATCCCAATGGGCAGCTTCACCGCTGTGCTGAACGCTCACCTCACCACCTGTGTTTTGGTGCCTCCCAATTCCATCTCCATATAAAGATTGTTTCTTTGCTCAGTCACATGACTTCAACTGCACACTGGGTGCTTCACCTACCTGTCCCACAGACAGCAACGCCAGTTTATCCTGAACTGAACTCATCCTTCCAAGTCTGCGGTCACCACAGCACCATCCTACACTTGCATTTTCTAACTAAGACTGGCACAACCAGCTCCCATTGCAAAGCCACGCCTTGTAAACTGCCCTGACATCTCGCACTCTAGCAGGGGTTAAATTTCGCGACAACCTAAATCTTGCCCAAGCTGTCTTTTCCGCACCTCCAGTGCCAGATGTGAGTTCCACAAGACCAAGGACGTTGCCCAGCTTACTCAGGGCTGTAAGACCACGGATTCAGAGCTGGAATCCTGGCTCTTCACTTACTAGCTGTGTAAGCACGGACAAGTTATATAACCCCCTCTCCTTTGTTTCCTCCCTCTGTAACAGATAATGATACTGACTTGTAGATGTGTGGCCAGGATTAGTCAGTTAATGCATGCGTAGAGCCTGGAAGAGATTTAGACACCTGAGAGGCGTTCAATGAACATTGACTGTTGAGGTTTTGTCCGACCAGCTGACATAGTGCTTGGTCCTTAAAAATATCAAAAAGTGGATTTTTTTTTTGGTAGAAATAAATTCAGGCCATTGCTCTACTTTAGACTCTTACTAGAGAGTTGGCACTGTGCCGAGGTGGGTTAAAGCCGCCGCCTGCAGTGCCAGCATCCCATATGGGCGTAAGTTCGAGTCCCGGCTGCCCCACTTGCGATCCAGCTCTCGCTATGGCCTGGGAAAGCAGTACAAGATGGCCCAAGTCCTTGGGCCCCTGCACCCACATGGGAGACCTGGAGGAGGCTCCTGGCTCCTGGCTTTGGATCAGCCCAGCTCTGGCTGTGTAGTCGTTTGGGGAGTGAGCCAGTGGATAGAAGACCTCTTTCTCTCTCTGGCTCTACCTCCTTCTGTAACTCAGTCTTTCAAATAAATAGAATAAATATTTTTTAAGAAACTCGCTCACTATCTTGCTTAGAGAATTGCAGTAGCTGCTAACTGTGCTTAGTTCTTCCTAACTACCCCATTCATTCTATGCACTGCCCTTAGCACTGGCTGCTAACACAGAAATATGAATGCGGGCATCGCGCTGATCCTTACACCATCCAGTGCATCCCAGTCCTGACAGGGAGCGAGTCAGAGCAAAATCTAAACTCCTCAGCAGAGCGGGCGTGGGTGTGTGGCGCATGCGTGGATTTGTGAGCCCAGCCTCCCTACTTCTCCACCCACCTCAATCCTTCCCACATGGGGCCCTTGGTTACCACCTCACCAGTGGCCCCCACATGAGCCCCCTCCCTGGCCCAGCATGTCCTCCCTCTCCCTGTCCAGCGACAAAACCACCATCATCTTTTGGCTGCAACAACGGCACCGTGAAGTCGTGGATGTCAGGGCTTCCAGCAGAGTTGGTACACACGGTCTTGCAGCACTGATCAAATCACAGAACCACCGTTCGCTTCCGTGTCCACCTCTCCCACTGGGCGGCGAGGCTCTTGACCCCGAAAGCCGGATCTGAACCAGATTTGTAGTCCTGCCAAGGAGCACAAGGTCTATAAGAAGCTTAATATATGCCTGCTGAATGGATGGTTGGTTTTAAGAAACACCTAATAAGCCTTGGTATTTCTATTTCCTGAATCTTGTTTTGCTTGTCATCTTTTTAAGTAGAAAGTCACCAACACATTTGCGAGTTTATTGAGCTTTAATTTTGGCCTTTCAAACAGCCCCTATCATTCATTCATTCATTCATTCACCGACACATATTTATTGGGAGCTAACTGGCATATGCTGGATTGGGCAACTCAGACACAGCTCCTCCCCTCAAGAGGATTATAATCTATTACGTCTCCTAAGCATGACGGGGCGACCGATCCTGAAGCACAAACACATCAGGATAAAATACAGATGGACGTGAGACTGACGGAGCAGAAGAGGATAACAGGATAATGCAGAGAGGTTAGGGGAAATTCTCTCTGGAGAAGTGACATTAGAGAGGACAACAAGGATTGAGTACGAGTGAGCCATGAAAAGTCACAGGGAGAGAGCATTCCAGGCAGCGGGAGCAGCAGGTGGGAGGTGCTGAAGGGAGTGGGAAGCAGTTGGGGAGGCTGAGGCCCAAGAGGTGGGAGCAGAAGGGAACAAGCCTGGAAAAGCTGCCAGGGGCAGACGCAGGGTTATGGCCTGGAATCTGGATTTTATCAGTGCAGAGGGAAGCCACGGGAGGTTTAAAATAGGGGCGTAGCACAAACTTCAAGCAGGGTTCGGTCTGTGTAGTGCCCTACACCTGAGTGTACCACAGGGGATTTTAGTGCAGAAGAAAGCAAGGGACAGCCGCTCCCAGCCCTGATCAGCAACGGCTTTGCTCACCAGCCACCCCTCCTGCATGCCCAGCGCCACACAGGAAGTCACCAACTCCCTTGGGGGGCTTGTCTGTCCTAGCCAGGGCCAGGTAGATGGTATCTAAGGGTCCTCCCTAGTCTGACACAATGTGGGGGGCTGGAGACAGCGACCAGCATCTCGGGCCAGGTGCCACCCTGGGGGGCGGGGTTGAAGTCCCTGGAGGCCATAACCCTGCCTGCAGTGCTCCGCCCTCCACCATACACTCAGAGCACTCCTCTCTGAGCCCAGCCTGTCCTGTCCACCTCTGAGACCACCTACCAACCTCTCTCCTACCTGGCCTGGGCTCCACTAACCACAAAAGGGACCACCGGGCTTGCCCCAGCAAGGCCTTATTTAGCTTGGGTTTGCACTGCTGTGGTCTGCAGCACTCCTTACCCCTGGGGGCCTTTTCTTATCCCCACCCCCACACAGTGCAGGAATGTGAGCTCTGTGCCCCTCCCCCCATCTCCACCCCCTCAGGGTGGGGTTGGGGTGGGCAGGCAGCCCTTGGAGATCCACTTGAGACAACCTGTCACTCAGGCTAGGAGCTGGCAGCCGAGGTGGGAGCTGGGAAGACTCTAATGAGCTCCTGGCGGGTGATTAAGAGCCAGCCTTTGTTTGACACCTCTTTCCCAGGGAGTGCAGTGGGGGAGACAGCTGCTCAGTGATTACAGGGCGCTCCCAGCAGCAGGTGTGTGGGGGCCTCCACCTGCACCTGTGCCTCCCCCGCCCCCTGCCTTATCAAGACGGTGCCATTTCTGTCTTTGAACAGCAAGCACTCGCTGTGCTACTTTCTGATAAAGTCACCTCTCTTGCACCCTTGGGTGGCACTGGCCCCTGGGAATTCCTTTCTGTCTCCTGCAAGTGCAGCGGCCTCCAGCGGGGTGTGTGTGGGGGGGGGGAGGTTAGGGCAGAAGGAACACAGTGTACCAGGAGGAAAAGGGTGTCTGAGCTCTCTGGGCCAAATTGGAGCTTCCTGCTTCAAACCACCCCAATTTCCACACCCGCGCGCTCAGATCTGCAAAATGTAGCCTAGGGGTTGGCACAGGTGGAGGAGCGTCGAGCTGGGCGTCCGCTCAGGGTCGATTCCTTTTGCCAGTTTCTTTCAGTGCCGGTGCAAAACGCCTGAGGTTCTTGGCCTGGGTTGCGGTGCGAAGAGGACCGGAAGGAGTTTCGCTGGCCTGGAAGACCTCCACGGGCATTTGGGGAGTGTTCCGAGGCCTCTCCGCCGCCTTCCCCTGCACCCCGGGCGTCCCGCGGCGGCAGGCTCCCGCCCCACAGCCCTCCCGGCCGTCCGAAACCCCACGCTGGACACCTTGCCAGGTGCCGCAGCCTCTGGGTGCCCGCCGCTAGTGCAGGAGGCCGCCCCGCCCACAGAGAGCGCGGAGAGGCCACCTGGGCTAGAGGGCGTGGCGGGGGCGGGGGCGGGGCCGCAGGGCCCCGGGAGCCCCGGGAGCCTCGGGCCGAGGGCGCCACGGGTGCGGGTGCAGCGGGCAGGAGAGAGCTGAGGTGCCGGCGACGTGGAGTCGAGTGTGGAGGTGAGCGCCCCTCGGTGGCAGGGACCTCTGCCCCTCTGCCTCCTCCCTCTCGGGGCTGTTTACAATCCTCGTTCCTGTCCAGGGCCCCAACCCCTGCGTCGTGGGAGAGAGGAGAGGATCCCTTGGCAGAGGTGAGGGTGGCATAGGGTGGCTTGCGATAGCCTGTGCCTGGAGGGCGGGACCAGAGGAAGCCTTGCCTTGGGACAAAGTTGTATTCTTTTTTAAATGTTTTTCTTTTCATTTCAAATGTGAAAGGCAGAGAGAGAGAGAGAGAGAGAGAGAGATCAATCCTGTACTTCCCAAATACCTGCAGTAGCCCAGGCTGGATCAGGAACTCCATCCGTGTCTCCCACTTGGCTTGCAGCCATCCAAGTGCCTGAGCCATCATCGCCTGTTGCCTCCCAGGGTGCACATTAGCAGGAAGCTGGAGTCGGGGTGGAGCTGGGACTGGAATCCAGGCACTGGGAATGGGATGGGTGCATCTTAACAGCTGAGCCAAATGCTCACCCCCTGGACTCCCCCCTGACAGGTGCACCTCTTCCCCTGGGCGTGCCCTGTGCCTATGCTCCCACCTCTTCCTCTGAAAGGGGAAACAAAGGCCACCACAGTGGGGTGTGGAAATCCCAGAAAGTCACTGAGCTGCTCAAAAGACCTTGAGCACCCTGCACCTGCACCAGCTAGTGCAGCCTGGCCAGGACTCCAGGGGAAATAAGAGTATCAATGGCATTTATGGGGGGGCGTGGGGACTACCTGTGAAGATAATCGCCTAGTGTCTGTGCCCATCTGAAACCAAATTGGGAGGACCTTGTGTAAGGGGTGAGGGTGGGTGTGGGACATTGTGGTTGGGTTGATTGATTGTCTTGGGGGTGAGTGCTGACCCAGGAAGGCTGCTTAGGCCGTGTTGGGCAGGCATTGATGGTGGCAGCTGCTCCCAACTGTGGGTTAGCGGCAGTTACCTAGTATTTGGAACACGTGCATCCAGCCAGAGCCTAACTCCAGCGACCTTTAGACAGTGTTGCTGAGTGTTGTCCTGTCTGGATGTCAAGTTAATCTGTAACACTGGGTTCTTGCTCAGTGCCTGGAAGAGGGCCTTGGTGATTCCTGCATGAGCCCAGGTGTGGCTAGCCACCCCGGAGCAGTCAAGTTCTTGCCAGATGTGGGTTGATGACTTTTCTCAGTGCCGGCCTGAGCTCTGAAAAGCTACTCCAGCATCTCCCAGGCCCCTTGACTCCCTCCACCCTTGTTCTTGTGCGCATAGAAGAGTGGCCAGGAACTCATGCAGGCAGTTGGAAGGAAAGCAGAGCCCTGGAAGAAGCTCTGTGGAGTTACATGCTATTCCTTCAGTTGCTGGATTGAGAGGGAGGTGGGAGGTGGGAGGGGGCAGGGAGGGGTGTCCCAGAGGAGGAGCTCAGGCCAAAGCTGATTACCAAGTGGTACAAAAATAATCCATATTTTAACAATCAGGATGCTCTCTGCATATCAGCCTGATGGGCACTTCTAGCCCAAACGATGGCACAAGCCACCCCCTTGGCCATAGGTGGCTCTAGATTCTGCTGTCAGAATGCAAACCACCCCTGCCAGGTTTACAGCTCTCTTCCTAAACAGGGAAGCCCTCTCCCAAGGAGGGTGTGTCCAGCACAGAGCCTTCTTTGTTGACTATTATGTGTCAGGAAGTTTGGTTCTGCCAAATGTCGAAATCGAAAGTCTACGCAAGCATTCAGCCTTGGATGGCAAGAAAACCCTGGAATGTCTAGTTGTGGCATGAATCCAGATGTGATTGTTTTACTCTTGATTTTGTGGAAAACAATGCAGATTTGGTGGATCCAAAACTTTAATCAGATCTCTGAAGCTTCGGTGGTTTCCAGTCCTGGTTTCATAGTTCCCTAATGTGTCAGCCACATCCTATAAGGTGCTCAGCTCTATGGGACAAACACAGGCATGAGGAACGTTCCCTGCTATTAGAAGCTTCCTGGTGCAGGTGGCAAGACAAAGCTAGCAGCACAATTAGAAGAATGATCTAGTGCAGAGTCCTGTGGCGTCACCTGCTGGCTCCGAGGACAGCCAGTACGGGCTAGGAAAGGCAGAGCACAGCAGCTGGTTGGTCTTGAGCTTGATTTATTTATTTATTTATTTTAATATTTATTTATTTATTTGAAAGGCAGAGTTACAGAGAGGCAGAGAGAGAGAGAGAGAGAGAGAGAGAGATGGCCGCAATGTCTGAAGCTGGGCCAATCTGATGCCAGGAGCCAGGAGCTTCTTCCTGGTCTCCCACTTAGGTGCAGGGGCCCAAGGAATTGGGCCATCTTCTATTGCTATCCCAGGCCATAGCAGAGAGCTGGATCGGAAGTGGAGCAGCCTGGACTAGAACCGGCGCCCATATGGGATGCCAGCACTGCAGGCAGCAGCTTTACCTGCTTCACCACAGCGGACCCCGTGATTGATATGGAAATGACAATCAACAGGCCCAGGCAGAGGGAAGGCAGCCTGAGGACAACACGACATTCGGAAGACGCGAAGGCACTTGCTGCCCAGGAGCTGTGGCCCAGGTTCCTGCCTCCCTCTGGCACTGGCAGCTGCCATCTTAGTGCACCCGACCATGCCACCTTCCCACTGCATTCTGACCACGCGTTCTGTGCTTTCCTTTTCTCTTTGCATTGCCCTCCTGTGCCCAGAAGCTCTGCCCAGAATCCTCTCCCTTTTTAAGAAGCATCTCCAGTGGCATCTTCTCCAGGGATGATTTCCTGGGCGGCTCCACTTCTGCTGTGTCTGCTTCGAGCAGAATTGGAGGGTTCCTCCTCCGTCCCCCAGTGCTCCTTGCAGGAAACTCTACTCTTCCCACCTTGGCCATAGGAATTGAGGAGTCTTTGCCCCTCTCACTGAGGAAGGGTTGTGTCCCATTCATTCAGGGATCCCCTGAGCCACAGCTGGTGTACGACACCTAGGAGGCTGTCACTCTCCCTCTCGCGGAGGAACAACACTGGACCCTGCGCTGTTCTCTTTGCCCAGCTCTTCCCGGGTTAGTTGCCGGCCCCCCGCCTCCACGGAGGGGCGGCACCCCTGCCACTTTCCCCGCTTCTGCGGAGGAGCGGCACACCACCGGCCGGCTCTCTCGGGGGCTGCTCAGATGTTCCTCAGATGTTCCTGGTGCATGTTGTCTCTCTCCTCCTTTATAGTCCTCTTCCACCAATCCATGCCCTGCTGCCCACACGCTGAGCACGCTGCTCTCCTCCAATCAGGAGCAGGATCAGCTCCTGCAGCTTATCAGTCAAACTGGTGAGGCAGCTGCATAGAAGTTGTTTGCTGTCTCTCAGCGCCATATTGTGGGAGAGCAGATGCATAGTGTTAGTCTTAGTTCCAGTAACTTAGTCTAGTCTCAGTTGCTCCCCACAGGAGGCATTTGGTAAATGATTCTTAATTGAAATTCAGCCTCATGTGGGACACAGTAAAGCTCCCCACGTACGTGGAGCAGAAGGCATGGGTTGTGTATTCGTTGGATCAACTAGATGGAGCCAATTCCTAGCAGCCTTGAGTAATCTGAGTTTAAGGCCATGGTAGTGCTCAAAGCCCTTAGCACCTTCTTCTGTGCCCAGATGGAATTCTAGAATCTTCTGGATCCAGCCCCAGCAATTCCTTTCCAGCTCCTTCCTTTTTTTTTTTTTTTTTTTTTTTGACAGGCAGAGTGGACAGTGAGAGAGAGACAGAGGGAAAGGTCTTCCTTTACCGTTGGTTCACCCTCCAATGGCTGCTGCGGCCAGCGGACCTCACTGATCCGAAGCTAGAGGAGCCAGGTGCTTCTCCTGGTCTCCCATGCAGGTACAGGCTTGGGCCATCCTCCACTGCACTCCCTGGCCACAGCAGAGAGCTGGACTGGAAGAGGAGCAACCAGGACAGAATCCGGCACCCGACCCGGACTAGAACCCGGTGTGCCGGCACTGCAGGCGGAGGATTAGCCTAGTGAGCCGCGGCACTGGCCTCCAGCTCCATCTTGAACTCACACTTTGTCTTTCCGAGCCATCCAGCACCAGACAACGCCCAGCCGGGGCTCTTTTCTCTCCTTTGCCTGTGCTGGGCAGCAGCCTCTCCTCCTAAGAGGTGAGCTCTCTTTAAAGACAGAGCTAGAGGCATTTGGAGGGAGAAAAAAATGGGATTTGGTTCTTTAAAGACAGACAAGGACAAGATTGGCTTCCTGCCTGGAGGCAAATATCTCATGGGGCAGATCCCCAGCCCAGGGTTGTGCAGAACTTTTTGTTCCCGGAAAGATTTTCGAAATTCAAAATACTGTTAAGTCACTTGGGGACAGACTGACTCTGAAGCTGTAAGACAACATTCAGACGGGGATGTTCTTGAATCAGCAGAAACACACACCTTGAGTACAGGTGAGCTCGGGGCCAGAGAGAGGCCTCAGGAGTGTAGTGGGATGGCCCGGCTTATGAGGGTGAACACAGAGACAGGGTCTAGGGAAAGCCTGCAGCCACGCAGGTGGGAGGAAGAAGAGGAACTTGTGAGAAAGAGAGTGGCAGAAAGACAGGGAGAAAATCTAGGGAACCAGAGGAGGAGACAGCGCAAGAAAAATAAGTAGGGAACCCTTTCTGGTCCCTTAAAAAGACAGGGCTTCAAAAATGAGGAGAGGGAGAGAGAGGGGGGCGGGGAGAGAGAAGGGGAGCTTCAGGACAGAGCACCTCCAGAGAAAGCAGACCTCAAGGGGTTAAAAAGAGTGGTTAATGAGCCACGGAACCCTTGGGTGGAGTCTTTAGACTTCTGTTTGAGGAATTTGACTGTGAAGGAAAAGCTAGATTACTTCTCAGAAAGGAGGGAGGAGTGCCTGGGTCCAGACAAGATTGTGTGTTTGAATGCAGGGGGGCTGGAGCCCAGTTACACCGAAGGGGTCTGGACAAATGCCCCTCCACACTGCTTAGACCCCATTAGACCTCCTCCTTCCCACCGCCCCCTGCCGCTCCTGAAACCTTTCCCTTTGGAGAATTTCCAGCCCTGGCATTGCT